GATCCTCCCCCTCCCACTCACAAGGACATACTAGGACTAGATGTTTTATCCTTGGAGGCGTGCGCCCGACCCGAACGTATAGTATAACAAAATTGTAGCAGATCGCTTCCCGAGCGGCATGGCCAGAAAGCGCCCGCCACGAGCTTGCACTAGAAAGATTTCTCGGCACGCGCGTCACCCCTGGGGAGGGCGACGCGCGCATAGCATCAGCATGTCGGCGTGACGCCGACTCCTGCGTGAGGCCGAAGCGCGCGGAGAGGCCCTGCGCATGGGAGGATGGTGCTTCCACGGCAGGCGGCGACCTCCTCCTCCTCCTCCTCCTCCTCCTCCTCCTCCTCCTCCTCCTCCTCCTCCTCCTCTCTCCTCCTCCTCCTCCTCTCCTCTCTCCTCCTCCTCCTCTCCTCCTCCTCCTCCTCCTCCTCCTCCTCCTCCTCCTCCTCCTCCTCCTCCTCCTCTCTCCTCCTCCTCCTCCTCCCCCTGGGATTTTTTCATTGAGGCCCTCAGTTCCAACATCCATCTGGATGATGCGCTTGGGGACGACACGGCACAGAACCAATCCAAGCAGGAACATACGGCGTGGTTCGGGGGGTACGGGGCGCACGAATAGATTCAGACGAACACACCGTTCATGATGCCATGCTTCCAGGGACCACGGGTTCTGATTCGAAACATCTGGGTGGCATGTGTCACGTCCGCGGGTGCGATAAACCACAGATGCGACGAGCCATACACAACGCGTACGTGGGGTGGTGCACACATACAAGGTTGTGGTATCGAACGCATTTACCCACGCATACTATACGGATACTGTTTCAAGGTATTGCCATAGGTGCGTTGTACTCGGGCCTGGAAGCTTATGTAATTGTGCCAAGAGAACACAAAATTCTGGACCGCTTTGTGCTAAGCCTGGGCGGAAATTGATGAAGGGAGGGGCGTGCACGCGTACTGTGGACGCAAATGGTGTGACGAAGAACACATCATTACCGACTAGTGCAGCCTGGGCAGTTCTACACATGGTACCGTCGAAGTTAGACCTGCAAGTATGGCGCTTGCGATGGTACCAGCAGCTAGATGCTTACCCCCCCGTGCACGTGAATGTGTTTGCGGCCATGTTCGGGCAATTGCAGTGCGAAGCGGCTCCGACGGTCCTGCCAGATGGGACTCTGGGAAGGGCTGCCGACATCAATCCATGGGCACAAAGATTTCAGGAGGACATGCTTGCGTCGCAGAGCATCAACTGTGGACGAGATGTGTTGCATACACTGCACGGCAGGTACGCAGATGTATTTATGCCAGGGAGGGCGCGGAAAGACTTCATACGATTGGATGTCACAGAGTCGCGTACGCAGTATTTTGCTGTCGCCACTCCGCCGCCTGGATGAGAGCCCCCTGCCGATACCAGCACCCCAACCCCTGCCAGACGAGGATCAAACATCTTACGTCTGCAACCTTCGGTCGACAGGGGAGGTTGTGTGCGGAGCCACGTCCCCAACCAGAAAACAACTCATCATCCAGCAGCGGATGACAAAGGGAGGGGAGCATAGCAACCTTCAGTACGCAGACGTTGCCACAGTGACGAATCAGTGCCCTTGGTGCAGATGTGCCTTCAATACTCGCGTTACTGTACGTCGGCACATCGTACTTTCTCTATAGCACAAGGCCCGCAGGTGGACGGGGAGCATACTCACTACGGTCCCCAATGTGCCAGACAACCTGGTGTGCAAGCAGTGTGGGGAGGAATGCGATGATTTACCACGTCTTCTTGATCACGTCACGCAGCACGTTCCAGGGCCATTTGCTGTTACCCTTTGATTGCACACATTGTGTGGAACAGCCTCTTATCTTCTCCTTCTATCCTCACACTTCCCAGCCATGGAGGCGTGGTCGCTGAAGCGCGGTTCTCAGGAGGGGCTCTGGCAGCCAAGAAGGTCGCAGCGGGCATGGAGGAGCTGCTCGCACAGATTCTCAAATTGGTCGTCGCCCTCACTCTGAAGAACAGCTTGAGGATCAGAGAGCTCCAGGCGGCTACATTCATCATGGTACTCTGCCAGACTCACAACAAGTACGTTTCAGAGGCCCAGCGCACGAGCAAGCAGTACGTCGACACGTGCAAGGCTGCGGCAGAGGGCAGAGGGCAGAGGATCAAAACCAGTGGGTGAGCCACACGTGCACGTCTGGACTAACCTCACCGCCCTGGCGGCCACCGACGAGCATCTGAGCCCCGAAGAGAGGACCGTGGTCGCCAACCACCGCTCCGCAGCGTCGGATCCGGACGCCTTGGTCCTTGGTCCATGTGGTCCATGTGCGCAAGGTTCGTAAAGCCTTCCGCGACACAAACAAGACGCTCTTCCTGGCCACGGCCCCTGAGGCCAAGGAGTTGACACGCATCATGGTGAAAGCCATCTCTGCGAGTTGCGGCGTGTAGAAGTACGGCCAGGCCCCCCGCGCGGGAGGCGAGCGCAAGCTACATGTCCTTTTTGGACAACCTGCGCAAGATCGTCCCGGACCCGCCCAGCAAAGACAGCATGGAGGAATACTGAGGTAGCCTGGTGAGCGCGTAGCGCCCGCCTCCCCTTCTCCCCTCCACTCCCCTGTCACCCTCCGCTTAGAACGAGTGTCGTTACTCTTCTCAACCGCGCCCCCCAGGGATTCGGGGCACCAACAGGCTACACGGCGAGTCCCTTGGCGCCATGTGCCCGCCGCTCCGTCGCCTGGCGGGGCGTGCACAGGACCCGCAGTGAGGGCATCCGCCCGATCACATTCGTGGGGCGTGAGCCCCAACGATTGCTTTCGGAAACGCGCCTTGCACGATGCGCAGCACTCTGCTCGGGACTGTTGCTTCCCTCATGCAGTGACCACCGCTCCTCCTCCCCCTCCTCCTCCTCCTCCTCCTCCTCCTCCTCCGCCTCCTCCTCCTCCTCCTCCTCTCCTCCTCCTCCTCCTCCTCCTCCTCCTCCACCTCCTCCTCCTCCTCCCTCCTCCTCCTCCTCCTCCTCCTCCTCCTCTCATATTTGATACTACTCTTATATTGTCATCATTATTATTATCAGTAATAGTAGTATTAGTACTAATATTATTACCAGTAGTATGACTATCATGTGTCTTACATTCACTATTATTAGTATTGATAGTATCAGGTTTATAAGTATTAGTATTATGACGATTAGTAGTATCAGCATTATTGTTAGTTTTATTAGGCGCAGTTAGCAGGTAGTAGGTAATAGGTAGTAGGTAATAGGTAGTAGGTAGTAGGTAGTAGGTACTAGGTAGTAGGTAGTAGGTAGTAGGTAGTAGGTAGTAGGTAGTCGGTAGTAGGTAGTAGTAGTAGTAGTAGTAGTAGTAGTAGTAGTAGTAGTAGTAGTAGTAGTAGTAGTAGTTGTAGTAGTAGTAGTAGTAGTAGTAGTAGTAGTCGTAGTAGTAGTAGTAGTAGTAGTAGTAGTAGTAGTAGTAGTAGTAGTAGTAGTAGTAGTCAGTAGTAGTAGTAGTAGTAGTAGTAGTAGTAGTCCAGTAGTAGTAGTAGTAGTAGTAGTAGTAGTAGTAGTGTAAGTAGTAGTAGTAGTAGTACTAGTAGTAGTAGTAGTAGTCGTAGTAGTAGTAGTAGTAGTAGTAGTTGTAGTAAGTAGTAGTAGTAGTAGTAGTAGTAGTAGTAGTAGTAGTAGTAGTAGTAGTAGTAGTAGTAGTAGTAGTAGTAGTAGTAGTAGTAGTAGTAGTAGTAGTAGTAGTAGTAGTAGTAGTAGTAGTAGTAGTAGTAGTAGTAGTAGTAGACATAATGATAGTAATAGTAGTAGTTGTTGTAGTAGTCGTAGTAGTAGCGTGAGTATTAGTACTATTCGCATTCGTGGTGGTACTCGCTTTGTTAGTAATACGTGTATTAGCTTATTTTTCTTATGCCTGACTAGCACACTGTCTTATTAGTATTGGAATTAGTTGCATAACCGAAGTACTATTATGCGCATTCGCGTAAATCTTAGTATTGCTATTATGTGTGCTATTATGATGATGTGTATTATGTATTTGTCCTCCTCCTCCTCCTCCTCCTCCTCCTCCTCCTCCTCCCCCTGCTCCTCCTCCAGGGGGCCCCACCGTCGGCGAGGGCCGGCTCATGCCGAACGGGCCCGGCGGCGCCCCCGTGGGAGGCGTCCCTGAGGGCGTGGGCAGCGAGGGCACCTGCCCGGCGAGGGGGCAATGGGAGGAGGAGGAGGAGGAAGAAGAAGAGGAGAAGGAGGAGGAGGAGGAGGAAGAAGAGGAGGAGTATCTAGTACCCCGCGGTTCAGAGCCCCCCTCCACCACAGCACCGCAACCCCGAGGAGGAGCAAGGCGAGGGGAAAGGAGAAGAGAGGGAAGGCCCAGGCACGCTCAGCGCGGGCCAGAGACCTCGAGCTCGACCGTGCCTACGCACTGCTGGCGGGAGCGCCGCGGGCGCTGCGGCCATCAGCCCGCTCGCCCCCAGCAGCCGCTCTCGACCGAGTGTACCCCCGCCACGAACGAATGCCCGCCCCTTGTGAAGCCTTTCTGCATTTCGTGATGGCGCCCGTGAAGATGATGCCACCCAGGCGACGGTGAGCGCCACCACCAGCCACGAGCTGCGACACCGACTGGCCGCCAGGCGGTTCATAGGAAACGCAACACCTCTTGCAGCAGCAAAGAGGCTTGTGGGCGTGAAAGATCCAAGGGTAGCGCTCCGTCCTGACCTCCCGCAGCTGGCAGCGCGAAAAAAGGGGTAGAGCACGGCGATTGATGAGCCCCACCATATTTTGCCACCGCCGCGAGCGGAACGGGTCCAACTTGGCCTCCAGCATGGGGAAGGTGAGCTCATACACGCTCGTGTCGTCCAGGGAGGGCCGCCGCGCCTCAGGCTGCACTGCTGCTCTGCTCCCTGTCTCCTCGAGCGGCTGCTGACGCCTCGTCACGATAGGCGCCTCGAGTCCGAGGGCGGCCTCGCCGCATCGCGAACCTCGGCCACTCCACCATCCACCTGGGCACAACGTCGCTGGCCACTCCTCCCACCACATGGGCCGTCAGCGTGACACTGGTATGCGGAGCAAGCGTCCGTCCATCCCCCCACCGCCTGGGACGGGCATTGGGGGTCGGCCACTCCACCCGCCACCTGGGCCGACTCCCCCCTGCAGGCCACTCCTCCCACCACCTGGGCTTCCGCACATTGAAAGAAACAAGAAGAGACAGACCCCTGCCCTTCCATTGGGCCCCGTCCTGAGAGAATCTGACCGCCTTCAAGGCCCCACGCCTCTGGAGCGTAGCCGAGCGCCGCGAGCAGGCCGTCGACCTGCGCCTCGGGGCCGCACCACACGCCAGGCGGGCGCGCGGGCCAGAAAGGCGCCACCTCCCTGCGAAGCCCCTCGTGCTCCCGAGGCTGGGCGGGCGGCGCGGGGTGCAGCCGCTGCACCAAGCCCACCTCGTGCACCTGCATGCTCTCGCTCTTGACCACGCCGTCGCACTGCATACCAAGCCCTCCAGTAGGCCTGACCTGGAAGGGCTCGCGTCGAGCACGGTCGCCAGCCGCCTTGACCAGCTTGCAGTACCCCGCCGCGTCGGAGGGCAGCTTCCCTTCGGCCGACAGCTGCCTGAGCGCATCCCCCAGGCGATGCACATGACCCGGGTCAGCATCGACCATGCCGTGCAGCAGCAGCGCGCGCCCCAGCGCCTGCAGCCGCACGGACAGCTCGGTAGTTACCTCAGCGTGAGGGCCGAGGTCGAGGCCGACCATTGCTCGCTGGGCAGCCTGAGCCACGACAGCGGAGCCTCGCGAGATGGCCCGCTCCTTGCGCAGGCGCCGAGCGAGGTTGCTGGCGCTCCGCCGCGCCCAAATCTTGCCACGTTCCTCCACTGGCACTTGCTCAGACGGCATTCCGCCCCGCAGGCCTCCCGCAGCCACCTCCAGGAAGAGCGCCGACACGCCCAGCACCGCGGCGCACACCGGACAGCACAGCAGCCCTGCAGCGAAGCGACATGAGCGAGCGCGCGCCCCCCGGAAGCCTTGGGCCAACATGGCTGCAGAAGAGGAGGAGGAGGAAGAGGAGGAGGAGGAGGAGCGTCAGTAGCCTGAGGGCGGGCTCCTGTAACGAGGCGGCAGCGGGCCGCGGCGGCGGGGAGCCTAGGCCTCAGAGAGCTAATTCGTGATGCTGAGCCGGTCGAGGGCGGCCAGGCGCGCGCCCAGGTTGTGTTTGTAGGTGTAGTCGTTCACGCCCTGGGTTTTGACCTCGAGGTACGTGTAGTACGAGAGGACGAGGCGCTGGATAGTCATCGACAGCGAGTGTTCCCCGTGCTCAGGATATTGGCATCCCAACCCCAGGCGCTCTAGGGCAGTGGCCTGCGAAAAAATACGCGGCTGACACACCAGATGTTGGAGCCGATCACATACCAGGTAGTGGGCGATCGCGCCTGGCTGCTGATGGCATCCGAAACGGCACTGATCCACCTCGGGTGTGACGTGCATCCGAGAGCTCGTGTGCCAACCACCCGCAAAAGTCCATAAAGTGATCCACCGCCATGAAGGAGCCACCGTCACCAATAAGCTGTCGTGGAGGAGGAGGAGGAGGAAAAGGAAAAGGAAAAGGAAAAGGAGGAGGAGGAGGAGGAAAAGGAGGAGGGGGGAAGAACAAGTAGGTACTGCGAGAGTTGGCTCGGTGCCACGTGCACCTGGCGCCCTTCCCATTACTGCAAGAGTTGGTAAGGCGCCTCCTCCTCCTCCTCCTGACCCCCCCGAGCCCATCCAGATGCCCCCGTCACGGGCCCTGGTCAGAGTGAGGGAAGCTCCCTTCTCCAGGGTGACAGATCCCTCTCTGAAGGGGGCCGTTCCTCCCATGATGATAGTTCACGGCTTGCGAGCCTCTTCCCCTCGGGGCTGTCCCAACCTAACCTGGCCAAGATGCCTCCGAGAACTCCCGAGAGCCTCTGGGAAGTCTGGAGGAGCTCCCCCTTCTCCTCCTCCTCCTCCTCCTCCTCCTCCTCCTCCTCCTCCTCCTCCTCCTCGTCTTCCTCTTCCTCCTCCTCCTCCTCCTTTTCCTCCTCCTCCTCCTCCTCCTCCTCCTCCTCCTCCTCCTCCGAATTCCTCCTCATCCTCCTCATTATCCTCCACCTCCTTCTTCTCTTCCTCATTATTCCTCTTCTCCGTCTTATTCGTGCTAGTTTTAATATTCGTACTAGTGCTCTGGATAATATGACTATTCATCCTGTCAGTAGTAATCGTGTTTCAATAGTGTTGTTCTTCTTGTAAGTACTGATAGTACTCTGGTCATTACTAATAGCATTAGTATGCTTAGTTGTCTTATGGCTGTCGTTTGCTCAATAGCTCCTTAGTGACGCTATTGATCGTAGCATCAGTAGTGTTAGTCTTGGTGGCATTGCTATGAGTATTAGTACTGCGCATGTTAGCATGATGGTCATTGGTCTTAGCATTATTAGTCGTAGCCGTAATAATAGAAGCAACAGCAGTATTAATGATAGTAGGATTGGTCTTAAGTTTCTTCTTAGTGATACTCTCCTTATTCTGAATACTATTAATAATATGAATGTTGTTAGTACTCCGTCTCATCCTGCTCTTCCTCCTCCCATTCTTAATCATGTGCTTCGCTGCTGCTTTCGTGCTTCGGTGCCGTCGGGTAGAAGCAGTAGACGTGACCGAAGGCGCGCCGATCCGTCCAAAGAGAGGCCAGCGCACTGACTTAGCAAGAGAAGGGGCCTCGCCACGATCGAGCGGTGGACCGCGGGAAAGGAGGCCCGACCGAATACGAAGGAGCGGCGTGCCAGTGATCAACGGCCAGATAGGGAAGCACTGATTTGCCACGACTGGTTCCGACATTAACGCACCGCCCATGACCACCCACCCACCCCATAAATTCTTCCAGTCACCTCACAGGAGCTATCTCCTCATACCATCACACGGAGTAAGCGCCATCTGACCTATGCTCAAATATCTTGGAATATCAGCCAGCGTTCTCCAAATATATTGGACGACTCAAATCAAGGAATCAGAGGAATCAAGCATGCTTGGGATCCGCAACTCAGCAAGCAAGCAAGCGTGCAAGCAAGCGCGCAAGCAAGCAAGCAAGCAAGCAAGCAAGCAAGCAAGCAAGCGTGCAAGCGCGTAAGCAAGCGCGCAAGCAAGAAAGCAAGCAAGCAAGCAAGCAGGCATAGGCATAGGCGTAGGCATAGGAGTTAGGGGGAGACATAGGCATAGGCATAGGCATAGGCATAGGCATAGGCATAGGCATAGGCATAGCCATAGGAATTAGGGGGGGGCATAGGAAGTAGGGGGGGCAACGGACCAATTTGTAGGATTTGAGCTAGGACTCCTGTAGGGCAGGCCTATTTGGAGAATAGGTCGATCCAGTCTCAAGCAGCCTATAGTGAAAAACATGCCTCTGGCATATCACATACCGTGCCGAACTACTGTTGCCTGGAAAATTGCCAAGAATCAGCCAGCCAAAAACTGTCCAAGGTTCAAGCAACAACTAGTTGGACAACTCCTGCGCCCCAGCAGCGCAGTCCGAAGAGGGCAAGTGCCAAGATGAGCGCCGCGATGCGAGGGAGAACGCGCAGCAGCGTCTGCTCTTGCGTCAACACTGTCCTGTAACTCAGCGCACCGTGCCACACAGAAACACGCAAACGCTTGGACCACTGCGGCTATACGGCGATGGTGAGGGTGATGATCTCTCTCAGCGGCTCCCGCACAAGGAAGGGAAATCACCACCGAGACGCAGTGGGGGGTCTTCACATCGTCCACACGCTGCAGACCCGCGCCCACCTGATTGGATGTCACCCATGGCGCTTACTCCCGCCCGCGCCCGCCCGACAGAGTCTGACCTGGGCGGCGGCGGCGGCAGCGCAGGAAGAGTGGAGGGGCGGGGAAGCGGCAGGGAGCGAGCCAGCGAGCGAGGGGGGGAGCAAGCGAGCGAGAGAGCGAGCGAGGGGGCGACGGAGCGAGGGAGCGAGCGGGAGACGGAGGGACGAGGAGAAACAGAGACCACCGCCACCGAGATTCCATCGGGGGGGCGGGGGGGGGCGATCACTGGGCGGTGGCACGCCTAGGCATCATCCAATACTGGGTAACCCGCAAGCGTGCCACGGTCGACGGGTCGCAACCCCAGATGGGTTATCGGGTCCGGGTGGCTTTTCCCCCCTTGATCTACGGTGAAAGCACTGGAGAAGGAAACCATGTATGAGGAATCCAGGGTCTGAAAGTTGGCGGAGCACCAACTGCGCGACGATCAAAAACGGGTCTTACGCGAGATGGCATGGCGACCTTACGCGGTGGTTTACGCGGGCCGCCCGCGCGGCACGCCACACTGGAGACGAGGGCCCTTAGGCGCGAGCTGACGCGGGCAGCTTACGCGCCAATGTCGGCGCCGACGACCCAGTTGTTTTGCGTCGCTCAATTGAGGCTCGGGAGACCACCGCCGCGCTCATCTAGAAGAAGGGAAGTACGCCATAAACCTAAACTTTTATCTGCCCTGGGACCCCCTCCCTGGCGCGCGGAGCGCTCCAGGGGCGGCGCCGGAGGTGCCGCCGGGGGGGGGCACAGCGCGGATCCAAGAAAGCCGCGCGGAGCGCCAAAAGTTTAGGTCAATGGTTTTTCTTTTCGATCATCAGGGAAGGGATCCTCCAGGGCCTGACGCTTCCTGGACACATTCCTCAACGAACGCCCCCACTGCATTTCTCCTCTCCTCCTGCTCCTCCTCCTCCTCCTCCTCCTCCTTCCCCTCCTCCCCCTACGGAGGGGCGGCAGGGAGTGGAGGAGCGGCACCGGGCTCGGCGGCTCCACCGCGGCGGGCCCCGCGCGCAGCGGGCCCGGCACGCGGGATGCGGCGAGCACGTCCTCCCGCCACGGTCGCTGGGCCGCCTCCTCCTCCTCCTCCTCCTCCTCCTCATCCTCCTCCTCCTCCTCCTCCTCCTCCGCCTCCTCCTCCTCCTCCACTCTCCTCCTCCTTCTCCTCCTCCTCCTCCCCTCTTCCTCCTCCTCCTCCTCCTCCTACGCCTATTAACTACTACTACTACTACTCCTACTACTACTAACTACTACGTACCACCAATACTACTACTACTACTACTACTACACTACTACTACTACTCTACTAACTACTACTACTACTATATACTACTACCTACTACACTACTACTACTACTACTACTACTACTACTACTACTACTAAGACTAGTACTACTACTCTACTACTACACTACTACTACTACACTACTACTACTACTACTACTACTACTACTACTACTACTACTACTACTACACTACTATTACTACTACTATTTCTACTACCTACTACTACTACTACTACTACTACCTAACTACTACTACTACTACGACTACACTACTACTACGACGACGACTGACTACTAACGACGACTAACTACGACTGCTACTATTACCTACGACTACTAACTACTACTACTACTATTACTATACTACTGCTTACTACACTACTACTACTACCTACTCCTACTACTACTATACTAACACTACTACTACTGCGACTACTAACCTATACTCTACTACTACTAAGTAACCTACTACTCTACTACTACTACTAAGCGAAATACTACTACGGATACTACTACGCAATACTACTCCTACGACTACTATCTACTACTACTTACCTACTACTACTACTACTACTACTACTACTTACGACTACTACTACTACTACTACTACTACTACTACTACTACTACAACTATACGACTACAAATACTACTACACTCCTCTACTACTACTACTACTACTACTTAACTACTACTACTACTACTACTACTAACTACCTACTACTACTAACTACTACTACTACTAGTACTACTATTATACTACTACTACTTCTACTACTACTACTACTACTACTACTACTAACAAGGAAACACAACTACTACTCTACTACTACTACACCTACTACTACTACTAATAATACTACTACTACTACTACTACTACTACTACTACTACTACTACTACTACTACTACTACTACGACTGCTACTACTACTACTACTACTACTACTACTATTACCCCTTCTCCTCCTCCTCCCTCCTCCTCCTCTTCCTCCTACTCCTCCTCCTTCTCCTCCTCACCCTCCTCCTTCTCCTCCTCCTTCTCCCCCTCCTCTTCTTAGTATGAGTATTAGTAGTAGTATTCATAGTGTGTAGCATTATGAGTAGTATGAGTCATCTTGTGCTTATGATTATTTGAATTCGCATTACTATTAGCAGTGTTCGTATTCTTCTTCATATTATTAGGATTAGCAGTAGTAGCTTTACGTCCTCTTCGTATGATGATTATTTGTAGTATTGTTGTTATTCCTCCTCCTCATCACCATCATCCTCCTCTTCCTCCTCCTCCTCCTCCTCATCCTCCTCCTCATCCTCCTCATCCTCCTCTTCCTCCGCCTCCTCCTCCTCCTCCTCCTCCACGTCTCCCTCCTCCTTCTCCTCCTCCTCCTCATCGTACTCCTCCTCCTCCTACTACTACTACTACCACCACTACTACTACTAAAACTACTACTACTACTACTACTACTGCTGCTGCTGCTGCTGCTGCTGCTACTACTACTACTACGACTACGACTACGACTAAGACTACTACTACTACTACTACTACTACTACTACTACTACTAACTACTACTACTATACTACTACTACTAACCACTACTACTACGTACGACTACTACTACTACTAACTACTACTACTAACTACTACTACTACTACTACTACTAACTGACTACTAGTTTTAATCGCAGTACGACTACTACTACACTACTACTACTACTCGACTACTACGACTACTACTACTACTACTGCGACTACTACTACTACTCTACTACTACTACTACTACTACTACTACTACTACTACTACTACTACTACTACTACTACGACCGACTACTTTACTACTACTACTACTACTACTACTACTACTACTACTACTACTACTACTACTACTACTACTACTACTACTACTACTACGACTGCTACTATCCATCATCCGCCTGATCATACTATTCTCCCGCCTGCTACTACTCCTCACCCGCCTTCTCCTCCTCACCCTCATCCTTCTCCTCATCCTTCCCCCGCTCCTCTTCTCAGTGGTATTATTAGTAGTACTACCCATAGTGTGTAGCATTATGAATAATATGAGTCATCTTATGCTTATGATTATTTGCAATAGCATTACTATTAGCAGTGGTCGTATTCGTCTTCATATAATTAGTATTAGCAATAGTAGCTTTACGTACTCTTCGTGTTATGCTTATTTTTATTAATGATGGTGTTCCTCCTCACCCTCATCCTCCCCCTCTTCGTCCTCCTCATCCTCTTCCTGCTCTTCCTACTCCTCCTTCTCCTGCTCCTGCTGCTCCTCTTTCTCCTCCTGATCATCCTCATCATCATCATCATCATCAGCAGCAGCAGCAGCAGCATCATCATCATCATCATCAGCATCATCATCATCATCAGCATCATCACCATCATCATCATCAGCAGCATC